TTTTTATGGAGTTACAATAGTTTATGGAGTTTTTCCCGAGGCTAGTGTATTTTTTTCAATGAAAACGCCGTTTTTTAAAACGGCAGGAGTGTGACGAGGTGCTGAGCGTTTCTCGGCGCCGAGAGTTGAAGAATGTTCAACTTTGGGTAAAATCTCAGCGCTCATCACTGTCACTTTTTACCCAGCTGTCCAATCACAGTGGAGGATGGGGTGGGACAAATACCACACCGACCAACCGCCACTTCCTTCTTGTACAACAGCAACAGACGACAAAAGTAATTACATATAAATTTGTTGACTTCAAGACTAAGAAAAAGTATATTTTTAGACAAAATTTTTGTTTTGATTTTCATTGAATTGTTAGATATGCTTTGTTATTTATCAGTTAATATTAAACTATAAAACTAAATGACAACATGGTTACCAGACGTACAGCACATGTCAGTTATGTGTGTGTGTGCAGTAGTTGTCGGATCAGTGTGTTTAATGTATGCCGCTCTTATCAGGCGGCTCTATATGGGTCAGTGCTTCAGTTCTGCCAGAGCCTGTTAAATATTGAGCTCTAACAGACCTAAAGCACACACAGGGACAAACAGGACACACTATCGATCTCTCAGGAAAGCATTCAATCACAAAAGCGCTGGAGAATAAACTAAACGTGCTCTTCACTCACGTAAGACCTGGTGTAGTTGATATCGTGAGCCATATTTTAATAACATTACACCACAGATGTAGATGTGTTTTTATTTGCGGTGGCTGCGTGGGCATTACAAAGAATCACACCCGCGCTCCAGATTCTATTTCAGGCTGATTATACCTGTAAACGCTACACCTCGTGTCCCCAATCTAATTTTAGACTGAAAACTTTCCATTTTTAGCCCACTAACTTGTCTCAGCACAACAGCAGGAAGCACAACCAAATAAAGCATCAGAGGATCACGGTGAGCGGGTCAGACTCTGTGCTGCCAGCTAGTGGATGCTCAGTGCACTGTTGATGCTGCACCATTCAATGTTAGTAATGTCTGGAACAGAAGTTTAATACTTAGTCTTTGATTTGATTGTCATTAATGCTGAGCAATAGTAATAGTAATGCATACTTCAGCAAACACAGAGTTTCTGCAGGTGTTATGAAGGTAAATTTAAGACCAAGCACACAAAATTTACAGAAATAAACTGAAGGCAACACTGTATTTTCTTCTAAATGTCTAGGGAACACAATATCAACGAAAAATAGCAAAAGTTTGAAAATACAACTTACATCCAGTCTCCATTACAAAAAAAAAAGTGATGTTCTGCCTCAGTATTTTTGTCGTTTTCCAGTGCAAATGTCTAAAGATTCTTAAATCGAGATGCATGAACTTTAGCAGCAAAATGACAAGATCAGTCTTGTTTTCTGTGAAACTGATCAAAATTGAGTTTAGGATTAAAACGAGCACAAATAGCTGCCAATGAGCTCAAAAAATAGACCTAATTCAAAGGACACAAGTTTTCATACCTCACTGAGCATAAACATTTTAAGCATAAGCTCACTTAATTTTGTTTGGTTTCTTAAAAAACAAGATTCCATATTTTCTTTCTGCGTCTCATGTAACCGTATCTCGATTTAAGGACTTTAGATAGTTGCATTGGAAAACAAAAATACTGACAAAGGTATTTTTGCAGTGTATGCAACATTTAATGCCGTGACTTTATGAATTTAAGACGTTATGCTTTGATTTCAGACCTTTTTAAAGCCGTAAATTGTGGCAGGATGAATTGAGACTGGCAGAAACCCTGTAAACACCACTAATGATTTTGTTTGTATTTTACCTTGCAGTGAATGCTGTTATAAGAAAGGACCTTGTTCATAAAAATAATCTCTGATTTCAATCGTGGAAGAGAAATCATCATCCTCTCTCAAGATCACAGATGAAGGCGTCTTGGCATTGATATCTATTTAAATCGCTAGTTTTTCATATCTATGATTTGTACACAAAAGGGTGACCAGTATGATCATGTTCGACATTAAATCAGTGTGCTTTACTGTTGTTTATATATATATAATGCCTATTTTCTCAACTCATGTTTTTATCACAAATCCACCTTGTAAGACATATTTATCGATGTGCATTTCAAATAAAATATTTTAAAGTGGCTGTTGCTTTATTTGATATCAGTTCAAACTTTAGTAACAAACCAAAATACTTGGTTTTGGCAAACTGGCAGATAATAATAATAATAATAATATGACTGAATGCTGATTAGTAGTTAATAGTTCACTTTAATATTAGGTCATCTAATTGCTAATGCAATAATTTAAATAGTTAAAAGTTTTTTTTTTTTCCTGATAGCATTGCTCCGTGTAATATTTAAAATAAAAAGCTAAAGTTTGCAATGTCCGAAAACGATGAGCTCTTGCGAGGGCCCATGCATATGGCTTCTAGTTTCAGCAAGTGGTTTTACACACTGTACATTAACAGGTGAACCTCATGAAACAACATTCAGGTCATTTTCACCCCAAAATCAAGAGAAAGAAATTAAAAAAATATATATATACAGTGGGTACGGAAAGTATTCAGACCCCCTTAAATTTTTCA